TGGTCTTAGAAACACAGATCATCACTGATTAGAAGGCCAGTGGGTACCAAGCTCTTTGTGTTTCCTGAGGAGGGATGCAGGGAGTGCCGTTCTGGCTGGCAGGGAGCCTGCTGTCCCCACACAGTGGCAGGGACGATGGTGGATGGTGACAGAGGCCCCAGGGAGTGGCAGTGGCCTGGCTTCTAGAAAGACAAGTTGAAAACCCAGCTCCAAGGTAAGCTCCAGAGCTGGGACCCTGGCAAATTAGTCTTTTGGCCTGGTTGCCATGGAGACAGACAGGCGGCAGCTGCTGGGAAGAAGAAACTGCGGCTTCTACATCCAGGATCCGAAGACAACCGTGGTGGGGGAGGGGGGTGCCTACCCTCCTTTCTTCCTGGACACAGAGGCCCCTGTCTGTCCCCAACTCTCAGGCTCCCAGGATCTCCACAGTTGCCAAATCACAAAAAAACGAGAGAGAGGATGAACCCCAGTTTCTTGCCTCTAGGCCAACGCCCACCCCAGTACACCGGTTGCCTTCTGTTGAGCTTTTGGAGCAAGCAGACCTTCTAGCGCTGAGGCCTGGGGCCCTGGGAGGGCTTCTGAGACACCTCCCCAAAGGGACCATGTCCTTAGAGGTGAATCCCAGAGTGTTAGCCACCAGAGGCCAATTTGGCCCAGTTTTCTGTCACTTTCCCTCTGGAAAACCTGGCTGGCCAGAGAGTCTGTGAACAGCCATTGTCTGGGTAGGGAGCTAGCTGAAGCCAAGCCCCTGAGGCAAATGGCAAGTGACAGCGTTTATTGTCCCCTCATTTGATGCTACACTGATATCATTAATTTGCTGCCTGGCTGGCATCCTTCAGGCTGGGACCTTGCAGGCCAGAGCTCCCAGCTCCCCAACAGGTTATCTCGGGGCAGGGGGGTGGGGTGGGGTGGGGGGACTGAAGGCGGGAGGGGCCTGGCATCCAGGTCATTGGTCCTCTTTCCCAGCACAGCTGCCAGCAGCTAGCTTTCATCTTCTGTGAAAGGAGATGCAGGGCTGGAGTGATCTGGGGCTTTGAGCTCCTGCGCTGGGCATGTGAGCAGGGTCCTTATGTAAGAGAACAGAGACCGTGCGTCGGAGCAAGAGAGGACAGAGAAAGGCAGAGATGAGCCTGGACTTCCTGTGCAGCGGGCGGCGGCTTTGAATCATGAAGGCAGCGCAGACATAGGTGTTATGTAAGGAAAAAGCCTGCATCAAGGGACGCAGAGGCAACAACGAGAAAAGGAGCCGTCGTCGCTTCAAACCCCTCTCTCCTTTTCCCGGTGGAAACCCCAGTGAATTCTCCTGTGTGGTCTTCCAGCTCTCTCTCTGTGTTTGCTCTCCCACCCCCATATCACTATTATTTATAAATTATACAAATGATACCAGAGCACCTTTTTAATTATATAATATTATACGTGTGTGTGTGTGTGTGTGTGTGTGTGTGTGTGTGTGTGTGTGTGTGTGTGTGTGTGTGCAGAAGTCAAAGGAGAACTTGTAGAATTGGTTCTCTTTCTGCCCTGTGGCTTCCCAGGGACAGCACTCAGGCTGTTAAGCTTGGCAGCAAGTGCCTTTACCTACTGAGCCCTGCTGTTGGCCAGAGAACCCCTTGTTATAAAAGATGCAGACACCAGAGATAAAGTGGCCTTGGCTGAACCCCTCCCTTCTGTGGACAGTGTCAATGCCATGTTCTCCTGGAGTCTCTGTTTTTCTTTCTTAAGCACAAATGAAGCCATCACATCGCCTTTTCCCATAGCGCTCCTCACTGTAATTTTGTCTCACAGTTCTGTTCTTCAGCAACCACCAACCCACACTCCGTATTATTACGGACGGACGCTTGATGGTTTGTTTACATCATCGTTAAGAGTCGCACGCTATTTATAGTCTTTTGTTAATAGGAATAATAATGCTTGGGCACTCATACAGCCGCTAATGCGGGACGTGCGGGGCGGGGTGGGGGGATGGGGGTGGGGTGTGTGTGTGTGTGAGTTATTTCTAGATGTGGAATTGCTGGGGTAACATGTCTGTGTATCTAATTTTCCTAAATACCATGGGGATTTATCTTTAAGCTTTTTGGTTTTGTTTTTGAATTATCCAAGACAAAGATATCCGTGGCAAAAAAAAAAAATTCGAAAACCATGCAGGGAGGGAAAAGTCACTCCATCTTTTTATCCAGCAGCCACAACTGTTTATAAATTTTGGGGCATGTTTTTCTTCCAGTTATTTTTATTTATTAGTCTCCCTCCCCTCCTCCCCCCACCGTGTGTGTGTGTGTGTGTGTGTGTGTGTGTGTGTGTGTGTGTGTATGTGTGTGTGTGTGTACAACTGGGTAGTTGATTCTCTCCTTCCACCTCTCGTGGGTTCCGGGGATCAAACTCCAGTCCCCAGGGGCAAGTGCCTTTACCACTGAGCCACCCCTCAACCCTATTTTTTAGACTGCTATTGCTACAGTGGTCCAGCCAGACTGCATCATTTCCAAGCCAGCCTTTTTTTGTTTTTTTTGTGTGTGTGTGTGTGTGTTTTTTTTTTTTTTTTTTTTTTTTTTTGAGACAGGGTTTTTCTGTGTAGCTTTGGTGCCTGCCCTGGATCTCCTGGATCTCGCTCTGTAGACCAGGCTGGCCTCGAACTCACAGAGATCCACCTGGCTCTGCTTCCTAAATGCTGGGATTAAAGGCGTGTGTCACCGCCACCTTGCCGCGCGGCCCCCCCCCCCATGCCCCAAGCCATAGTTTCTAAATCCTATTCCTCCATTGTTGGCCTTTGAGTTGTCCACACCCATAGTTTTTTCTAGTACATGAGCTCAGTGATTTTTTTTTTTTTAATTTATGTCCTAATTCCAATGATTTTCTTCTTTTCTTTATTCATTTTCTTGTTTTTACATCCTAACCAAAGCTTCCCCTCCTTCCCCTCTTGCTCGGTCCTCCACCCCCCCCCCCCCCATCCATTCCTTCTCCACTGTTTCTCTTCAGATACAGGCGGGCCTCCCATGGATACCAGCCAGCCATGGTATATCTAACGATTTTCTTAAGCGACATTCCCCAAAGGAGAAGTACTGGTTCCAAAATGGGAGATTTTAGTAAATCTATTTTGTAAGTTGAATTTTGCATTGCTAATGTGTGCACATGGCACAAAATTCCAAAGGAACCGAGGATTACAGAATGAAATGAGTGTCTTCCTCCTGCTGGCCCCTCAACATCAGTTTCTTCCCTATGGGCAACTGGTTTATGCTTGGGATGCTTTTGTTTGTGGGAGTCACGTTGTGTAGCCTAGGCTGGCCTGGGACTTGCAAGTCACCTGCCTCAGCCTACTAAATACTAAACACTGTGATTCATAAGCATGTACTACCACACCCAGCTTTGTGTATGGTTTTTAATGGGAAAACTATAAACATACCCTCCTTTTTCATAAGGAAATGGTGGGTATCAGAGACATATCTTTACATTTTTTTCACACAAGTTATTGGTTTTGTTCTGTTAATGAAAACTGCCAGATTTTTCTGAAAAATATTGCATAGAACTCCTTTAGATGGGTGTGTCCTAATTAAATTAATCAGTTCTATTGATATATTTTAGGGTTCCCCCCCCATCTTTAAGTATTGGGCCAGTGCAATAACAAATAACATTGCTCATAAGCCATTCCATACACATTTGAACAATAGGTTCCTGTAGGTGGAACCGTGTCCCAGGGATTGGCCTCTTACATGCATCTCAGTAGCTGTGGCTTTTTCCTTTACAAGTGACCATCTCAGCATTAGAGGCAATGGGTAAGGTTAGACGCTCTTCATGCAAATGGCCAGCTGGGAGTCACCTGTTTGCTCTCTCACCAGCTCCTTCCTCCTCCCACTCTAAGGGAAACACCGTGGCTATTTGCCCAGGCTCTGTCCTCAGTAGTCTTTTTGAAAAGGATCCATTTAAAATTAGCAAAAGTGAGCTTTTTAAATCTTTCAAAGAAAATGTGGTCAGTTTTTAAATCTTAAAATATGGTGATACACGCTTGTAATCCCAGCACTTGGAAGTGGAGTCAGGAACATCAAGGAGTTCAAGGCCAGCCCCAGCTACCTAGTGAATTTGAGTCCAACCTGGACTACAAGAGATCCTGTCTGCAAAATCCCAAACCAAACAAACATTTTAAAGCCAGATCTGGGAGAATTTCCTTACACTAGTTTTACCACTGTTTCTGTGTGACCTTGGCACACCTCCTTGTGAGCCTGTAATGCCTCAGAACTGTTCGGCGGAGGGAGTGACGAGCTCGCCCCCTTCCCCCCAAGGTCTCAGAAGGTGGCAGCTGGCCGGTCAAAACTAAGATCTGAGGAAAGGAGGATTCCGGGCTGTGAAAAGGCGGCTGGGCGGGGCCGCGGCTTTGTTCTTTCAAAGGCTGGCGCTGGCCCCTGCGGCAGTGCAGAGGGCGGAGAGCTGGTCACCAGCCCCGGGGATGGACGGCGCAGACCCCCGCCCGGGGGCCAGAGAGCCTCGGCGGGACTCGGCAGGGCTGACCGGGTCGCGAAAGGGCCTGTGGCTCGTGCTGAGCCGGGTGCTGGGTGCTGCAGCCACGCTCGCACCTGCGCCCGCGTTCGGGACGGTCCCTGCGGGCATCGCTGGAGTCCATCGCGCCTCGGGCTCCGGCTCCGGCTCCCAGCACCCAGCTGCAGCGCCCAGAAGTCAAGGACGGAGACGCCACGGCGCTCCTACCCTCTCCCCGCCCGCGACCAGCCAAGGACAACGCCAGTGTGCAGCTGTGCGCGCGGCAGGTGGCTTGGGAGCAGCTCCACAAAGGGGCGAAGCCATTTTCTGGGCGGATTTGCAAAAAGTTTCCACTCGTGGTGTCATCTCCATGTTAAAGCATCGTAGCCATGCCCTCCCCACCCTCCCTTTCCTTTCTCTACCGACTTGGTTTTCCAGGGAAAGCAGGCGTCAACCGCATTGTGCTCCTCATGTGGCCCCACCTGTTTGGCGGCGGCGGCGGGGGGTGGGAGGGTGGGTGATGTTGGGGGGGAGGAACTGACCTTGAGCCTTAGTCTGGGTTCTGCCCCAAACAGCGCATGACTCGGCCCCCACACCTTAGTCGTTTCATCTGCGGAAGGGAAGAAGGGAAAGATTAAAGCCAGACAAGGGCAGGTATGGGTGAGGTTAGGGGATGCGGGGGAGGGGTGGGTGGGAGGATAGACTAACCCAATTTGTCTTCCCTAATAAAACTGAAAATATTCACAACAGGCCTGCCATTCTATGTTTCCTTTTAACCCAGTAAAATATGTGCGCTCAGGGAGATTGTCCTTTTTAGATTGTATCTAAAAAGCAAACCTTTGTTATAGTTCAAGGGCCAGCCACAGGGACTGTGTAAGAGTCTGTGTGGGTTATGAATCACTAGAGGAAGCTGGAAGCAATAAGCTAGATATGTGCAAAGATGTAAGGAGAGCTTAAAATATATTAAATAAGAGTAAACGACTGCATGTGGGATAAAGCACACACCATTATATAATTTTTACAACAAATCGAACAACACTGAGTTTTTTATAGTTATATTCAAATGCATAAATATTATCCTTAAAAAGAAAGGGTGAGAGAAGAATACGCTTCTAACAGTGGTTGTCTCTGGGGAGAGGGCAGCGATTGCAGATAGTGAGTGGAGAGGAGGGTTCAGGGGCTGGGGTGCAGCTCAGTGGTAAAGGTCATGGGTTCCAGCTCCTGCACTTCCAAAATAAACATGTAAGTCCTCAAAAGGCAAGTCATTTACAGATCACTTAAGGCATTCTAAGTTGTATGTTTGTAAGAAAACACTCTGGGGCTGTTGAGAGGGCTCAGTGGGTAAAGAAGCCAAGCCTGACGACCTGAGTTCAGTCCCTAGGACTCACATCGTGGAAGGAGAGGATTGAGTGGGTTGTCCTCTGGCCTCTACACGCGCTGTGACCCAAATACCCCACATACAGCAACATACTCACAGGGCTGGGTGGAGGTGGTGCAGGCCTTTGATCCCAGCCCCTGGGAAGCAAAGGCAGGCAGGCGGCTCTCTGTGAGTTCAAGGCCAGCCTGGTCTACAGAGTTCCAGAACAGCCAAGGTTACACAGAGACCCTGTCTCAAAAACAAAACAAACTAACTAAACAAACAAAAAAAAAAAAAAACCCACACTCACCGAAATAAATAAATACTTAAAAATTTTTTTAGAAAGAAAATACTCAGGACAAATGTGGTTAATCCCAGGCAGTGGATTAGTTGTTTTGTTTTTTTTTTTTTTTTTTTATTTCCTTCTTTGTACTTTTTTTGTTATTGTGTGTGTGTGTGTGTGTGTGTGTGTGTGTGTGTGTGTGTGTGTGAAATCCCAGACTTTGCACATGTTCCACCACTGTGCTGCACTCCATCCCAGCCCTTACCTTAGTGTTTAAACCCTAGCAGAAGGAGTCAAGGCTTCATGACTCCCCCAATCCCTCCGCTCGGAGTCTGCCATCCTGTGATTCTAAGCCACCTCCCTAAAGGTCCTGCACCCCCCTCTACTCACAAAAACGGGCAGAGGTGCTTCTGCCCCAGACCTCCCTGGTCTCAAATTCGGTCACATCTCCCTTCCACTTGACCCCTACGGGTTTGCCACCCAGGGCAAATTCCTGGTGCCCCCACCCCCATCCCTGGAGGGTGCCAGGCTTACTGTTTCCTCTTCCCAGCACACGCTCCCTGCCTCTGTCTGCAAACTTCCTTCCTGTCTCTTCTGGCTGACCTTTCCCCTAGAGCAGCAGTTCTCAACCCGTGGGTCACAATCCTTTTGGGGGTCAAACGACCTTTTCACAGGGATCACCTAAAGCCATTGGGAAACACAGATATTGACATTATGGTTCACAACAGTAGCAAGATTACAGTTAAGAAGTAGCAATGAAAATAGTTTTATGGTTGCGGGTCACCACCACATGAGGAACTGTATTAAAGGGTCGCAGCATTAGGAGGGTTGAGGACACTGCCCTAGAGGCATCCCCTGCTTGGGTTAGGCCTGGCTGGTCTCGGGGTTCTGAGCTGATGGTTTAGTTATGGTGGCCTCCTTGAGATCTGCCTTCCAAACCCAACACCTCCCCCTTTCTTATCTGTGGAATGGACAGAGAGATCAATAGCATCAAACTCATCTCGGGTGAATTCTCAGATGCTCATCTGATACATCCAGAGGGTTTTGCTCCTGCTAAGAAGCAGAACCAGGATTTGAACTTAGAGACTGTGGTTTCAGAGTCCATACTCTTTCATTATTTTTTTTTAATGTCACAAAATAAATCAAATGCAATTTCTAAATCTACAGTTTATAAAACAGCTCACTACAGAAAACTCAGGACATGTTAAATCCTTAACAAAGAAAGACATATTAACATCATTCAAGATGGTTTACTTCCTTTTGAAGTATAGTTATTTCCGTTTTGTGTGTATGTATCTGTACATGGTCATATAAGTGTTGGTGCGTGCAAGTCTGTGAGTTCCAGTGGAGGACAAAAGTCAGGCAATCGCAGGAGCTATCCACCTTGCTTTTTGAGACAAGATCTTTTACTGGGACCTGGGGCTAGAGGGCTAGGCTAAAGTGGTTGGCCAGTGAGCCCCGGGATCCCCCTGTCTCTGCCTTCACAGTGCTGGGATTATATGCATATGCCCAGGGGTTTTTGTTTGTTTGTTCGTTTCTATTTTGAGAAGGGTATCTCTGTTATGTAGCTCTGGCTGTCCTGGAACTCAGCATGTAGAACAGTCTGGCCTGGACTCACAGAGATACCTGCCTTGGTCTTTGGAATGACGGTATTACAGTCGTGCACCACCATGTCTGGCCATGTGCCCAGTTTTTTTTTTTATGTTTTTTTTTTTTCCTTTTATTTTATTTTACAATACCATTCAGTTCTACATCAGCCACGGGTTCCCCTGTTCTCCCCCCTCTCACCCCCTCCCCTTACCCCCAGCCCACCCCCCATTCCCACCTCCTCCAGGGCAAATCCTCCCCCGAGGACTGTGATCAACCTGGTAGACTCAGTCCAGGCAGGTCCAGTCCCCACCTCCCAGACTGAGCCAAGTGTCCCTGCATAAGCTCCAGGTTTCAAACAGCCAACTCATGCAATGAGCATAGGACTCGGTCCTGCTGCCTAGATGCCTCCCAAACTGATCAAGCCAATCAACTATCTCACCTATTCAGAGGGCCTGATCCAGCTGGGGGCCCCTCAGCCTTTGGTTCATAGTTCATGTGTTTCCATTCGTTTGTACCCAGTTTTTTATACTGGGTCCTGGGGATCAAACTCTGATCCTCACATCTGCTCTGGCTAACACTGGGACCCTTAACTATGTCCCAGCACCCTACATTTTCTCCAAAGATTTATTTCTTTTTATTTTATATGTATGGGTGTTTTGTCTGAATATGTACTGTCTGTGTGCAACGCCCACAGAAGCCAAAAAAGCTGTTGGATGCCCTGGATCTGAGTTAGAGATGCTTGTGAGCCACCAATTAGGTGCTGGGAATCAAACCCAGGTCCCCTGGAAAAGCAGCCAATGAAAAAACACTGAGCCATCTCTCCAGCTGCCCCGCCCCCACATAAAAAATTCTAAATTTATTCTTTGACAATTTCAACCATGTATATAATGTGTTTTGATCATATTCACTTGCTCCCTTAGCTCCCTGGCACTCCCCCGGAACCCTCAGAGCCCACACTGTTAACCACAATGCTCTGAGCCCCTAATGTATTTAATTTTTTTCAGACACCAAACATGTGCAGTGAACCTGACGTGCACTGGGAAATGTGCTATAGTGAAAAGTAGACACAGCTCCTATCGCCAGGGATCTTCCTTGCATTTAAAAGCCCAGAGCGGGGGTGAGAAAGGACACAGAAGACGACACTCTTAGCTCCTGAACCATCTCTCCAGCACTGTCCTCTTATCCCCATGGAAGATTTGTCCCATACCATCACCTTTCTTTCCATAAAAGCAGTTCTCTATTAAGCCACCAAACACAATCTTTTTGTCCCCAGATGAGAATGCATGGAGGGGCCTGTTGTCAAGGTTACCTATGTACTTTGCATAGCCTTTGTGGATATCTCATGAGCCAGTTGGATTGTAAGGACCTTGAGGACCACGACTCCCCAGCATGCTCCTTTGGACCTGGGCTGGTACTTAATCAGTGCTAAGAGTTTCCCTTCAGTCTGCTTATCAAGTTCTGGTACGGGCCCGAGGCTGTGTTAGGTGCTCCTGAGCAACAGGCCTGTCCGTCAGCAGGCTCACGGTCCAGGCAGAAGGCTGAAGTGCAACCAAGTAACTGCAAACGGACTGTGTGGTGTGATAGAGAATTTTCGGGTGTGGTAGAGGCTTACAGAAGGAAGAGGCCAACTTGAGGGATGGGTTGGCCAGCACAGGCTTTACAAAAGTAATGACATTGAGAAAGCATTTGAAAGCTGGCCAGGAAATTTTCCATAGGCTGGAGGTGACAGAGCAGGACAAGCAGAGAGATGCACCAAGGGACAGAGGGGTGCAAGGGACAAGCAGTGTCATGGCCAGGAGACAGTAAATACTCTGACTGGGTTGTTACTGGCTGAGGGTGTAATGGAGCCTTGAGGAAGGACCCTGGAGATGAGCAGCAGTGGGACTATTGTTGTGGGGTGTGTGTACACTGTACAAAGATGTATTTGCTGTGACTGGTGTAATAAAAAGCCAAATGGCCATAGCTAGGCAGGAGGTATAGGCGGGATTTCTGGGGAAAGAAAGGAAGAGGGGGAGGAATCCAGGTGCACAGGAGACATTAGGAGACGCGGAGAGGAAACAGGAGGTGTAAGATGAAAGAGAGGTAACACCACATGATAGAACGCAGATTAAAATAAATGGGTTAATTTAAGTTATAAGAGCTAGTTAGGAACAAGCCTAAGCTATAAGCCGAGCTTTCATAATAAGAAGTCTCTGTGTCATTATTTGGGAGCTGGCTGGAGGGCAGAAAAAGACTCATTACAGACTATGGATGGTATCACGTGCTGTGCCAGAAGTAGGCCTTTGATCCATCTCATAGGCACCGGGTGATTGTCAGGGCTTAGAAAGACCCTTGGGGGATTGGTGGCAAAGGCTGACTTGCTTTCAGCTGAAAAGTTTACTTCTGGCTGATTAGATTTTAATATTTA